CAAAGCTATTTTTATCTTTTGTTACCTACTACTATTTTTATACAACCTTTGTACTTCAATACACTATTTAGTACTACATGTAACTTTTCTGTTACACCAGCCACACTAGCTACACTAGCCACATCCTCATACCACCCAATACTAATTTGGGGGATCGCTAAAGCCTTGTACCTCCATGACTTTTGAAGTTTTAATTGTAATTAGGGTTAGGGTTAATTTATTGTTAAGGTAAGGGCAGATATATAGGTAAAATTCCCTTCCCGACATTTTTTATTAATATACCAAGACAGATTTAGACTGCCGTTTTTCATATTTTATCGTTTTTTTGATTTTTTGATTTCTTCGGGCTGATCCGTGTAGACAAAATCTCATGATTTTGATTGGTGATCTACATAGAAAAAGTCACGTGGGTACAAGACTTTAGCGGACCCCTTAAAAAGGAAACATCGTGGGAACAAACTTTATTTTATAAATAGACCAATCAGAATTTTCAAGATTCTGTAAAAAAAAAAAAATGGGTTCTCTTTCAAAATTAATTCAGAAAGGAAATTTAATTTCATTACGTACCTACTTTTCCACGCTTTCACTTGGAGAGTCGCGTAAAGTAATAAATTCACCTGATGTTCATAATGATACTTTAATACATTTTGCGGCACGTTTTCATAAACTTGATATATTATCTTTTCTTGTGCAAGATATGGGTGGTGATGCCATGGCTGTGAATGAACATGGTACTAACCTATATTACTGATAAATTTTATTTTGTTCCAATTATAATCTTATGAACAACATAAATATCTTTTAAAAAATAGGACGCCAGCCGTTGCATGAAGCGATTGATAATTTAGATTGTGTAAAATTTTTATGCGAGCAGAATGTAGATGTCAATTGTATGAAACGTGGTGATTGGACACCTATAATGATCGCTGGTAAGTATTTTGATGATTAAATGAAGTATGAATTAACATGTGAATTAAAAGTGTGAATTAAAAGTGTGAATTAAAAATGTGAATTAAAGTATGTGATTAAATCTTCAATTAACGATGAATAAAATCGAAAAAATTGAATTAGCAATGAAAGGTAGACTTGATATTGTAAAAGTTCTTGTCGATCACGGCGCCAATGTAAACTTTCAGAATAAAGACGGTTGGAATTGTCTTCATTTTGCCGCAAAAGAGGGTAAGTTAAATAATCTTACTTTAAAATTTATAAATTTTATATATTATTTTATTAATTCATATATTTTCTTTTTTAAAATTTATAAAATTTATAAATTATTTATAAATTATTTATATTTTAAATAAGGTCACCTTGATATTGTAATATTTTTACACTCAATTTCTCCATCTCAATGTTTAATACCAAGTAAATCTGGTCGTTTACCAATTCACACAGCCGCGTTATGTAACCATCCCAATATAGTTTTTTACTTGCTTTCTTCAGTATCATCTCAAAAAGATTTGCTCTGTTTATTATCATCAGTGGACAACAGTGGAACTTCTTTATTACAAAATGCTGTAATTTCCGGAAATATTCAGATGGTTAAAAAACTAATTCAAGAATACCGCTGCTCCATAACACACAAAGACAAATTAGGAAGGCAAGCAATACATAATGCTTCGATGATTGGTGATCTAAATATGTTTAAACTTTTAGTTGAGACTGGATGTAATGTCAATGAAAAAGATGAATGGGATGGTTGGACTTCTTTGCATCACGCTTGTAAAGAAGGTCATATAAATGTTGTAAGCTATTTGGTGAATGAATGTGGTGCGGACGTGGATCTCAGAGATAAACATTCAAGGTGTGCTTTGGAAATTGGTATGCTGTAAATTTTAAAAATCAAAAATTTAATTGTATATTAAATATGGTGCTGGAAACCTCAATTCAATAACCGTCTCAATTTTTTTAAAAATTGCTTCAACTCAACGTAGAAACAAAATCTTTTGAAATTTCTTCTTTATGATAAATTCTACAAATTTAGCAATGAATTTTAAAAAATTTATTGCGGAAGCTTAAGCTGGATTCGCTTATGCTGTTATTTTAACCTAATGTAATATAAAATTTTTATTAATAAAATAGTATATGTTATAGATTTGAACAGGGGCCAAATCTCAGCATAAGTTACCACATCTATTTATGTTGAGTTAATCGTCTTTTTAAAATGGAAAATGTGCTTAGTAGGGTTGTTAATGGGTTGGGTTGGGTTGGTTTGGGTTGGGTTGGTTTGGGTTGGTTTGGGTTGGGTTGGTTTGGGTTGACCTAATCTTCAACCCACTCCACTAAATTAGATTTAATCCAATGTTTTGCTCCGGGTTGCTACAGGTTGCTCCAAATTTAAAGGCATAATTTTAAACCCACTCCAACTTGGGTTGGGTTCTAGTCCGGAGTGCTCCGGAGTAAGCTACTCCATTAACAACCCTAGTGCTTAGGTTACAGCACCATATATTTTTTTATTAACAAATTAATAATTCAAAATTATTTTAGCTAAATCCTGGGGCAATTTAGAAATTGTCAAATTGCTTGAAAGCGTTCGTTCTACAGCATTATAATATTTTTGCCCATAACATCCTGATCTAGATCAATCTTGATGTTAAACACTGCTCGAATAATTATAACAAATGATTATAGACCAATTAGATCAGTTTATGCATTATTATAT